AGTACTGACATCTGGTGTTTGGTAAACTAGCTGATAAACTGGCTCTTTGCCTTCGCCCTCCTTCCTCTTCTCAAAACGCACTGCTCTCCCCACGCCAGCCTCCATCAAGTCCATTTATACCGCCCAAATTGACTCTCCACTCCGCAGTCGTTCCATCTTCACCTCTGATTGGCTGTTGTGCCACTGACATACCTCCATTGTTCCACGGGGCTTGCAAACACTAAAGCAGCATTTTCTGCATACTTTTCGGACAGAAAATTGACTGCTACTATAATCGTGCTTATCCGTAATGCTGAGCAATGAGTGGGTGCATTCAGGTTGAGAACTGAACCCATTTGTCTCTCATAAGATAACTGGATTTTGTAAAAAAATACCTTAAATTATCTTAGGCGCATTTTTGAGCATTTTGTATTAATTTTTATAACTTATTGAAATTTATTTTGTGCCTTCTACTTTGACCTTTTTGTTGTCTGTCATCTCGATTTCGGAATCGGATCGTTAAGGGCCTCCGCTGTAGTGCCTCCATAGGGTGACCTCACCTTCAGGTCATGCTGTTTGCATTTTTGACCTTCCCCACATCGGCAGTAAATATCTCATGCCTTTCTTTCATTTAAGTGAACATTCATGGAGTTACACATACTCTTTCTCTTGACAAGGAAATAAAACTGCATGCACACGAGCTGCACTCTTTGACTCTTCAACCAAATCATTTGAGGTTAATTGCAACACCCTGAGTGCATAAACAGCCGTTCGTTCGTAGGTAGGCCATAATAAAGAGGAATCTTTGGCGAGGTTACTTTAGTGCAATGGGGAAGGGGGCCCTGGGCCTCATAAATGAGGCCACAAACGGTTTCGCGACACATCTGCCACATTACTTACACATTCTCAGCCACTTTACTGCCTCCTTTTTTTCACGCATAAAACTTTCAGGCACTTCCAAAGGCTGCTGCTATGACATAAAATTGGAACGAGGCAAAAGAAGTGATAAAAAGTTGCAGGATAGCAACTGAGCGACTCACACTCGAAAAAGAAATAATGCATCCTACACCGTAATTTCCTCCCGTGTTTGAATTCATCCTAGTGTTAGAACTGCTCTTTTTCTACTCGGTTTCGTATAAAAAAGGATAGAAGTATGTAATTCCCCCTTAAAAAAACGTTTTTATTTATCTCGCTAATGTAATGCCCAAAGCGAAGTGAGGTGAGGGGGGGGGTGGGGTTAGGAGGGGGACGAACGGGAAAGGTCCGTAGCAAAATAATCCAAATTAATTTAAACGTAGAAATTAATGGAGTTAGATATGATAATGATGAACTATTCCTTCTTTGGCAAAGTGCCCCAGCGATCCTTAGTAAGGCCACTGGGTATTAAAAAAGTGGGAGCTCAAATAGGCAAGCTCAGATAATGGGAGGTCCTCATGCTGCTTCACTTTGGAAAACAAACAGCGGCAGTTGGTTACCGTCAGTTTTTTATACCTTTGAAATTGGCACATTATCCTTTCTGAAGACGAGAGAAGTTGTGATGCCAGGACGGAATATCCTCTCCTTGAGGGGTAACCGTCACCATAACCAGGCAGACCTTAACTTCTGTTCGCGTTAATCAACCTTTTGGGTCAAGCATCACGATGTAATTGTTATTAAGACGAATTGCTTATGCGTCTCAGCCTTCCATTCAACTAAAAACACACTTGACGGTAACGTCACCGAATCCTTCTAACATCTTCAATGGATCCTCATTCAACTTGCGCTAAAGTGCGTCTAAGGAAAAGGGAATACGCAGGCTAACTTGCATGCCCGCTGGTCCAAAAGCGTGAACAGGGCATCATTGCTTCTCGGTTAGAGCACCGATTGAGTCGTCTTCATTAGACGATTTTTATTGAATGGCCTCCTCGAACACAGGCATATTTCCGACCATAAGTGGATTAATCAATCGTGGAACACTGAATGGTCGGAGTCTTGAGAGGGTGTCAGTGCTCTACTACTCGTTTTTGCGACTTTTAGGGTCAACTATGCAGATCGTGCTCTCATGCTTGAAGCTCATTTACCCCCAAAAAAATTTAATTCGCTGGTAAGAGGTACTTCACCATCCAGCTACATTTAAGAGCGTCTTGCAGACATAAAAATACCTTTCGCATGAAGAGTTGCGCGTGATACTTTCCATATCCGCAATGTTTCAAAAATTTAAGTTTCTAACGTCATACCTAGAGGTATTTACTATGGGGTCCTAGAGGAATCTAACGATCAGAGAGCATAATACAGAAAAATAAACGAACAGTGGACCTCGTCACTTCATCTGTGACAGGATTTTGGGTAGTGGGATGTATAAGCTGACAACACACGTGTGTGTGATGCTAGTGAGAAATGTGTAAGTGTCAACTTTGTGTCGGTTAGTCGAGCATGCAATGGGTCAAGCTGTCTGATGAGGGTAAAAAGGATTTGGTAGTGAGTTGGATCAGGGAATTCCCAATTACCAGCTAATTTACATACTGCGTTTGAGGATAATCGAACTGTTTGATTTATAAGGAGCACGAGTCTTCCACTAACTTTTGCATTACAGATGAACAGATGAGAGGTGACTCATTGCCAACCGCCGACAAGCAGAGAAAATTATAATTTAAGATTCACTTTCTTTTTAAATCTCCCAGAATCCCAAGTCGTCGAATGGAAGGACCAACCGCAGATAGTTGATGGAGTTGCGCACATAAGCATGCATTAAAAGAGAACATAAAACAGCTTTACGCCTCTTTAACAGAGTTCTCGTAGGGATAACTGGATGTATTAACTGATACGCTAAGTTATGGATTGTACACAAATGGAAGGGCGTTATGTACACCTGTAAATTATCCAGCAAATTCACAAAATAGGGTAAATGTATCGCCTTGGGTGAGCTCAGAGTTCAGTCTTGACAAGGGTCATCGAGGTGTTAATGGTGTAGCGAGGCTCGAGGACAATTGACCAGGGCGTGAGGCCTTCACATTCCGAGGACATTCCTCGATTCTCCAGCATCACTACATCGGCACCTTCAATCGGACAGAGACTATTGAAGGTGAGGGCCGCGGGAAAATTCATGATTTCGCGCTCCTCGGCTATTCGGAAGGTGAAAGTGGACGGAACCGAACCGACAAAAAGCCTAGAAGGGAAACGGATGGGAGGAGGGAGTGGGCAAGGCGCTCATGAAAATAAATGAATAAAAAAAGGAACAAAACAATTTGACGGAAGTGAAAGGACACAGAAATTAGTAATTTCACCGAAAGCTTGTTTTCTACCCGACTGTCTACTTGCTCATATTTTGCTTTACTTGTAGATTACCAATGGATGGGTTAATTTAATAATCAGCTCATAGAGCGGCATTAGATGAAATAGCCTCCAATGCTTCTTTTAATCTTCCCTTTGAAAATAGGTCTCATTTATTAAGGAACAGCCAATAAGTTTAATTTATAAGTAGTCCAACAGCTCTATTATGACCCATTCGTTGCTTAAAGAAAGCTACTGAATGAGAGCTTGTGTTCATCACCTCTACACCATTCAAGTATGAAATGAAAAGCTGAACGCAGAGCTAGTCAGAGCGATGTCGAAGAAATAAGGAAGCTGGTCGGGATAGAAACTAATATCATCAAAAGTGGGGGAAGGGGAAAGATTACAGACGTGACATGTCAGTGACTCACCGGGCATGAGCACAAATCCACTGGTCAATAATTGCTAACTCGCCTGGCAGAAGACTGCCACCTTTTGACACCTCGGGAGTGAAGCGATACACCTTGTGGGGACTTAGCAGTTGTTCCAACTGAGTGATATCTACAACATTATTTTCAGTAAACATATGGTATGACAATTTGAACGGATAATTTTAACTACCCATACGACAATCAAAAACTTTCATCGAATCACAAACGCCCAGCGTACCCTCGGGGTCAGCATCAGTAGCGAGGAAGATAGGCAAAATCTGGCCATTGGGCAGACGCACCTCCTCGGCGCGAAGTTGAATAGCCTGCAGAGTCTGCGTGGCCACTGTCAAGGGGGAGGGAGAATGGGGGAAGTCGCCACGCCGCCAGTGCAGTCCCAAGTAGGGCCCACCACGCGCAGGGCTGCGAGGCCAAGGCTGGTAAAGCCAGGAGGATGGAGCAACGGTTCTATCCTCATCATCCTCCGAATTTAGCACAGCTCGTCGAAATGAGTCGCCGAGGATGGTGAGACGTCGAGCAAACTCCATGCTGCGACGGGCCTAGAGGGCGAGATTAGCTAAGTCATTCTGCAACTGATTGAGGGGAGGAGGGTCGGTGACAAGTACCTGATCTAGCCATCCAACATGCAGTTATAAGCCGTTGAGGGTTTAAAATAATAGGGAGAGAGACAGAAGAACTTTATTTTTTTTTTGCCACTCTAGGAAAGTCGGTATAAGGGAGAATACATTTGTATTTTCCCAGACCCCTCGCTAATTGTGGCGGTGGAGGCTGGATTCGCTAACTAAGGCAACCAAATCATTTGTCAAACTTAAATAACCAGGCTGAAGAGATTAAAGTGCCTAGGCTAAAGTAAGACCAGAATGGGCTGGAAATCTAGTCTTGGAACTTCATTGCCTTGAAAATTTTTGTGGGGAAACACTGTCTCAAAAAGTGGTGAATGTGCCTGCTCACGCATATGGCGTGCCTCGTTATAACGATGGAATGAGAGAGGGGAACAAAGAGCAGGAATTGCAGAGGCAGCCAGAGTAATTTACAAGAGGTGAAAATAAATTGACAGCTGGTTATGGTTGCGTAGTGAATTGGAGAATCAGCACAAAGGTCATTAGATCATAAAGGTTCCAGATTTTGGCCATACACACCACATGCAAAGTCTCCTGAAATGCTAAATGAGATTAGATATTGAAAGAAAGTAATACTTCTTTGAGAACAATTTTTGATTAATTAGCTCTCTACGTTGGTTTTGGGGCACTTGAGACTCCACTGTGGCCATGTCATGCATACCCTCGTTTTATAAAATCCGCTAAGGGAATAGAGGTAGTGTATATTCAGCCACCACCCTTTTAAATCAAGGGAATAAATGGTCTTATAAAAATAGACCCTCACATTTGGAATAGAGGTGGTGATAGCAAACGCCTGATTTCACAGCGACATATCTAAGGTTCGACAGACCTCTACGCTTCTGTCGAGTAGTGGATGGCAGAGTAAATGCACTGGGAGTGTGAAACCCAGCAACTCAAGTGCTCTAGGTAATGAAAGAAGACTAGAACCGGATAGAAGGAAAAAGTCGTTTTAAAACTCAAGCAGACACCTCAAAGGGTATGATCCATCCCTCTTAAGGTGAAAATCCGTTAAAAATAACCATTTAGAAATGAGGAATTCGCTTACTGTCCAGTACTGTTGACTCCATTCACTCCACACACCACTAATCAAATTCTCCGCTTCTCCAATGTAAATGAACCTTCAAAAGAAATGCAAGAGTTCTAAATTAAAAATGCTACCCTATTAAGTAAGCGCTTTAAGTTGGTCAAGCATTACGTGAGTTCGGGATGCTCTTCGATGTAACGGGAAAGGACACTCGCCAATTCAACAGCATGAAGGACCCCATGAAGGCATTGCAAAACGTTCGCTACTAGGGGAGATTCATTGGTTTCTGTGTCAATGTACACATACGTCACGTTGTCCGGTGTCTGAAAATGATTCAGCCTACACCTTAGACGATAAGGCCCCAATTGGACGTTCCAGCTCAGGACAAGTAGGAGTGATTGTTAATGCTTCTGCTTAAATGTATTGAGTAGGGATAAACTTACCCGTATGATGTTGGAGATAATCTGGTCGTCTTCACACATGAAGTGTGCATACCCATTGGCATCGGACACTACTTTCGGAGCTTCCAACCGAACTTTATTTTGGGTTTGTGCGAGATCGAATTGTTTTACTACGAAAGCCGCGTCCAATAATAGTTTCTTAGCACTCCTTGCTGCTATAGGCAAACGGGAACAACAAGGTTAGCAAGCGGGTAGAATAAGCGTTACTGGATCACTAAACACTAGTGTGTTCGCTTATAAGGGGTGATGAGCGGAGAAAACCCGAACTCCAAAATTACTGGCCAAAAGACATTTGGAAAGCACAGCTGATGTTAGCCAGGCAATGATTTACTTATGCTTAACAAAAACAGACAAGTAATAAACGACTCGTTACCAATTTCTAAGTCAGAAGATGACTTTCATCCAGTCGGGATAATGATCAAGTCAGTCTGCCGACTGAGAGGTGAATAAGTTGTTGAGTGGTAATCGATATGCCATTCCTCCTTGGCAGTGGGGTTTTAACTGTTGTGCCCGAGAGGGATGATAAAAGAGTGCAGTGCGCTAGAAAACTTAATCGGCCACTAGTGCACCAAAAAAAGGAGAGAAATAAGGAAAAGAGAGGATGCCGAATAAAGAAAAAGGCATCAGTACACCACTCCGAATAGAGGCCCCAATAAGGACGCCACGGCACCTCTAAAAACAAAGGGTAAAATGTGGAGGAGGTGCTTTCTCTTCTGCTTGTCGGTCCCGTGACAGTGAGGCTACTTTGAAGGAATGAAGCACGATAGTTTTCATTTTTTTCTTTGAGTGTATTCTAGGTGTGACTTTGCCGAAGTGAGAATTAAGTAAACAAATTTGGGCCGCACGACATAAGAGAGAGTCACCATGCGAAACCATATTTCGTTGGCAGAGCGCCAAATGCTTAAGTCAGATTACAAACATACACATCTAAAAACGTTGTACTACAAGTTTTGAGGTCATTTCAAAGAGAACTCAGAAAGCCAAACAAATAGTTTTTTTGAATAGCTGCAGAGAGTTTACAGCTTAATCAGAGCTCCTGTATCTCCGTAAAGGGGAGGACCGAAGTGGTCTAACTTAGCTCTAAGCGTAATAATAAATGTTGCGATCACAGTTGAAGGAATATGAGTCACTAACATATCACCTTTTTTAGTCCTACTAAACAAAACACAGCGAATGCAAAAAACCAACAGTACGTTTGTGAGAGGAAAGGCAAATAAATCTTCGCTTGAAAGGAAGTGTGCCCACCAATGTAATGCTGCTGTTGTGCCATAATTCCGCACACAACCTTTAGCCAAAGCTCCGGCATTTGCACAAATGGAGAGTAAATGTTGAAATAATGCAGGACCCGCGTGACTATCGGACCACATTCGATTCTAGGGCTTTAGGCAAACGTCTTGTGGAGACTTTAGACGCTAAAACTAAATTCGATATTTCGTACATGTTTACAACCCAGATTATCACTCTTCTTGACATAGCGGAGGTTCCTCTTCAATCCTAAGCCCAAAATCTAAAAGGAGCTTTCTCTTTAAGCGTTCCTCATGCTTAGCACAATCAAACGCACCTATCACTTGAACACGTATGCACTGCGTTTGAAATGAGGAGTTCAATAGATAGAAGGTTTAACATATTACCTCTTCATGGTGTGAAAGACAGATGTACATGTGACATAAAAGGAGGGTCAGTACCACTTCCGACTGCCATAAAGTTCAGTTAGACATTAAATGACAGCTGACTGATAAGTGTTGAGGAGTTTAAAGGTGAAAATTCCAGAAGATAATATGAATTGAAGAAGACGTGACCATTACCCAGCCGTGGAAATTACTTCGAGCAGAAAATGGGGAATCGAATTCATAAAAGCATAGAGTAAATAAAGCAAAAAATGGCAGACCTTGCACGGGTACCTCGGACAAGATTAATGGGAACGTGTGGAAACAATTAGTGATTAGTTCCATGTTGATAATTTGTTTAAAGTTATCTGGAACAGTTCATAGAAGGATGAAACAGTGAAGCCCACGCACACGTGATACAAAAAAAAGGGAGTGAGGAAAATTGGGCTGAAATTTCGGGAAAAATGACTAGTTAGAAAGCGGCATTCTGAATTGCGCATTTTTGATACACATTGGCTTACTTGACTTCACCGAAGATAGGAGTTAAGTCACCTTAACTACAAAAACTTTGGTGGTACATTGCTAGGATCTTAACTTCAATATTTGTCGAAATGCTGATTACATTAAAGCAAAGTTCCCATTTTATAAAAACGTCAAGTGTATGTTAGTCGAACAAGGATTTACACTACGTCAAATGCGATGGGCCATTTGTTATGACGGTGACTAGCGGTAAGATGTTCAGCCACAAAGAATGGTTGCGTTATTCATACCTAGTTCTCGAACTCTCTATACTAGGTACAATTACAGACATATGATTGCACAAAGTTGGTGCTTAATTAGCTTTAGCACTCAATCATGTGCAGGCTAAGCAAACACTTGCTAGTCAGCGGCAAATAGTGATTTGAATCGGCTGATTCAAAAGACGAGAAGGTAGTAATTTATGCAGTGCTGACGATACTTTTGAATAGTTAAAAACGAGAGATGAAGCTTTCACAATTTTAGAAATTACTAATGAAACTTAACTGAAATGTTTAACAATAAGCGAAGTACACTAGAACAATTTGGAGATAACTCCGCTCGCATTATTTGTTTGAAGGGATTGAAAGAACCGGGTTGGTAGATCGACCAATCTATTTAGAGTACGCTGTAAAGTATTTTGTGCCTCAGTTCTTATTACTAATTGCGTAATGGCAATAAGGTGCAGAACAGCACAAACAACATTCTCTAAAAGACTGGACTCGGATCTTGCACTATTAAAGCAAGAGCAAACCACAGTGAAAATGGATGCATGAGTAAAGCACAGAGCTTGTCGAACAGTAAGAACAGGAAGGGGAGGGTTATAAAACTACCGATATTATCTAGTGAAACCGCACCCTGTTGCAAAAACTCGTCATATTCAATGACTGGAATAAATAAGTTGAGAGACTCAACATTGAAAAACGTTGACCAAGGCTGTGCATGATAAAGGGAAGAATTTTGTCGTCTCCAATGAAGAGTCTGACTCCAGGGTGCTAGGACAAGCGTCCAGTTGTAATTTCTGAAATTTTCACCATTCAGACCATTCAGTGGGTACTGAGAGAAATCACGCAGTACTCTAAAAAACAACATAGTTGGACGAGTTAAGGGAAAAGGTAACAGCCCAGACACAGCACATGGCAAAAAGTTTCATCATAACTCAAGATAATCTATATAAAAGACGTCAACACGCAGTAATAGAGCCCTAGCACATGTGACACCTAGCCAGCTGTAATTAATGGAAAGTTTCTGACATTTTAGCATTTGCAATAAACTGTGTCTCTGGCAACGTCCACAGTGAGAGTTTGGATGTACCTTATTAAGTTAGCCATCCGCACATACACATCGCGCCGTAGATTAAAGCCCTCATTCTCATCGACGGTATAAATAAGGTATTTCTTATTAAATGATGAGCACAAAAGAGTCACAAATAGAGTAAAAAACACGATATTCCAGGCAACGATAACACATGATCCCATTTCAGAAAACGCGCCGAATCATTTTAGAGGGACACAGTAACTCGATGGTCACTAAATATACAAGTTAACCACATAAATTGCACAATGACGCCATGAACAACACAATGAGTCGCAGTAGACAAATAAAGCGACGCTCTGTAAAAAGCATCCTTTGTACTGTCGATCGGAATGGAAGCTACGATGGATATAAGCTTTTCATTTAAGACAGAACAACGAGTCCTGCCGGAAAGACTCACAATTAGATTTACTATCGTAACAACAATTCCCGCCTAAAAGGTGAGCTCGGAACCATACTTGTCATTATTTGCTTGATGACAATGTACGTAAAAATAATTTCGATTGTGTTTACAATATTATTAAAGTATCAAGCTAAAATAAGAAAATAACTAACGCAAACTGGATGTCCATATTAGATCAATGATACAATATAGGCAATTTTGGTAATGTGGAGCATAAAAGCTAATTTACTTGACGTGCTTCGTAAGATTTAACATAAAATCCGCCAGAGTCAACATTATCAAGTCAACCTTGTTGGGCGCCTCGGGTATTGTAGATCCTTGCTAACTTTGCATGATGCAGTAACGCCATTTTAGGCATCTCTCAGAGCAGAGGTTTTGACGCTATATTTTTTATTTATTTTTGACACATACCCAATTTCAATTACTTACATCACTGAAAATCCTTTTAACCAGTTGAATCTACACTCACACGTGCCGGTGTGCTTAAACTTCACGTTGTGCATCTGCTGAAGTTGCTTAGGCATGTCTAGCAAAAAAAGTAAGAGATCAGAGGAGTCCCCAGATGAAGACGTTATTGAACTCGACTTGGAGGGATTTTCGCCACAATTAGAGGATCGTGATGGCATTATACAGCTCTTGCGACAACACATGCCGAAGGATTCGAATGTTTCCCTTGGAGAGCTTGCTGATTACATCATAAATCAGAGTTCCGTTGGGACGGTTGTTAAAAACACAGTTAATGAAGCTGATGCTGCCAAGGATGATGATGATGAGATCATTTTTTCTCTGACAACTGTTATCAGTCTTAGTGTGCCAACTGTCGCACGTTCGTCTGTTGTTTCTGAAATACGTACCTTCCTAAGCTCCTGTATTTCTCGTGCTGAACCATCTAGTTCGGACTCTAAAATTTTGTTGAAAGTTTTGATGGGTCAGGCTTCGGAGAAACCAGGTCTTCTCATTAATGAACGACTAGTAAATCTCCCGCCTGCCGTTGCTGCTGAGGCTGTCGCTGTCCTACCCCAGGAGATTCTGACGCTGCCAGAGGAGGAAAGGCCAACGCATTTGATCCTTATGACAAGGGCTGTGAAATCGAAGGATGCAGACGAACTCATATACATTCAACCCGAAATGGAAATAGTGAGAAAGGTGGCTTTCGCCGTGGTTGAAGCCGAGTCCATGGATGTTGCTGTAGATGGAGAATCGGAAACCATTACATATGTGATTATGGCAATTGAATTCTCCAGTATTCCCGAAATATTGGATCTCCTTGCAGCTAGCCCTTGATCTTTACTCCTACTTTCTGTGGACACAGCTATTTCTACGACGTATTCTTGTTTAAAACGTGCCTATTTTTAAAAAAAAATGATCATACATACAGAGCACCTGTCATCTTCTCAGTTCGTGCATTATATCATCGATACTAAGTGCCGATGACCGAATTTCGGATGCTTAACTTCATTTTGCTCTCTGCAAACCGTTTGAACTTAGTCATCCAGCCACCACCTTATTGGTAACGTTTGGAATGTTACTTGTTCGCAGTTTATTAATTAGACTATTAGTAGGGTTTTAAGGGAATGAGCGCTTGCTGAGCCCGAACTCTTGGATTTTTGGTCAGATTGGACCTTGGTATGGAGTCTTTCGGAGGTCGTTCCTGCAAGTTATCTGGTATCAAAGTTCTTCTTGTTGATGAGAGATCGTCTTCATTCAGAAGGGGTGCTTTGCATCTTGGTGTTTCACTTTGGGGGCGTTCGGTTTTTCTCGGTAAGACTGGCCTCAGCTGAAATTGAATTGCATTTTTAGAGCGCTTATGTCTTTACCTTAACTCTCTTCAATTCGGTATGAGTGATCTGTGAGCTTGCGCTTGGATAGTTTTGGTCGTCAGCGCGACTATTATAAGTCGGTTCCTTAGGTAGTGTAGTCGTGGGGATTGACTGCCTCGCCTTTTTCGGCGTCTCGGTCTTTTGTCTCGCCTTTGGTACGGAACGCTCTGAGCAGCTGGCACTGCTCCCCTTCGGAATCTTGAAGTTTGTCAATGCGTACTTTTTCGGTTTGCTATAACAAAAGAGCAGTTTATGCGGGTTGGACTGTTCATTCATCGCATTTTAGCAATAATTTGTGGATTATATACCTTAAGAATTTAGCTCTCCACTCTTCAAGTTCATCCAGAATGTCGTTACAATTGTTTTGTAGCCCTTCTATTATTGTGGCCTCCATTTCACCATCAAACTCTGAGTTTTCATTTTCGGATTTAGTCTTCCGTTTGACCTCCTCCAATTCCTCTTCCTTAGTAGTGCTTGAATTTGGTGAGGTGGGTGTACAAATCGAATTGCGACGTTGCCGAAGAGCTTTTCCAATGTTCCCACATATGATTGGACCAGAGGTAAGATTTGAACTAACTGGTTTCAGTTTTGAAAGTGATTCAGCTATGAATAAGTACGTTATGCCTATTAGGCACTTCTTCAGCTAGCCTTAGTAAATCGAAATGCTGTTTACCCCATTTACGAATTTCTCTAGAATCATTGCGGTCGTGTACAGTCCCATCCTCGTCAATTTGAACCCGTTGTCGCTTTTCGTCGGGAGTAAGGTGAATTGAAGAGACTGGCTTGTTCAATAAATACGGACAATTTTCCCCGGAATTTTTTTTTGAACCGATCTCCGGTACCTCCCTTTCGTCATCACCCTCGATGCTCTGTATGTGATGTTGTTTAGCTGATATGACCATTTAACAAAAATTAACTACCGCTTTGTATGCAGAAGATATGAATTCATCAATCACACAATTTATGTAATTCCATTCATCATCGAAGTTGAATTCATTTTGCACATCTCGTTGCACACGCTCTGACTGAGTAGTGATGTTGTCCAAACACTTTAGACTTGGAAGTAGCTCTTTTATATGCTTCCAGTAGCTCTACATACATACGGAGTACGCATCGATAAAACTTACTGAATAGGACTTAAATTGTTTAATCATGGGGTTACCCTCCAGTGTTAAATTTGAAAGGCAAGTGCATCCACAAAGAATCTCTATGCTTTTTGCGTCAGAGATTGTATTTCTTTGGAAAAGCGATTTTGAAACATGACAGCCTACCCTTCGAGGTCCAGAATTTCGAGTTTAGTTAGATATCCGAGGGGACTAATATCAGATATATCATTGAAGGAAAAATAAAGTTCGCGAACTCCTCTCATTTTTTCAATGCCTACAAGCGAATGAAGGCAACACTGAGACATCCACAGAATCTCGAGCTTGCCGAAACCCGAACCTATATCACTACTTGATCATAAGTCTTGTTTCCTGCATTTAATTACCAAATCTGGGGCACAATCCCATTTGAAAGCTTAAGATGTTTCAGATTTGGAAGGAGTTCATCTAAATTATCAATTCGCAGCCTGTTGACGTCGATGCGCAATTCTAAGTAATCGACATTCTGCAGGTCTGTGCATTGTATGTGATCCTTCTAAATTAACACAGTTTAAATAGTTCACAACACGTTACTAATCGGTTCGCCGATAAAACAGCCTTATTTTTCAGAGAGTCTTCATTAGTCTTTTCACTACCTGATTCTACGAAGCGTGGAATATTTCGTCCCTTAACCATTGTGAGTGCAAAGAGGAATTTACTGTTGTGTTCACGAAACAGCATTTTTTCTTGAATTTCTCATCGACTTCATCACGTAGAACTACCTTTGATGCGTTCGATGGAGGTTTAGGCTTTAAGACTTTACTCATGTCGCATCTAAATGTAATTTTTATTGCTCTATATCAAGCCTTGAATGTGGTAATGAGGAAGGGCTCTGAGGTACTTCTCATTAAACGTTTTGAAAGGTTGTTTAAGGGAAACTGGGAGTGCTTACACCATTAAGTAGCTTTTTCAGCACACATAAGGTCTAGTTTATTTAAGAAGACGATGTCTGTTTAAATAATTTTGGACTCAACGTACGTAACCAATTTTGAAAGGTCACGAGCGTCTGACCAAATCAAAACAAGTGTCATAGTAACTTGGCCCAGTTGGGGAGTTGACATTTTGTAACTATCGACTAGAAGTAATAAAAAACATTAATAAGGATTTTTGATAGTTTACATACGTTTGTGCGTCTTAAAAGTTGATCATATAAAGGACTCCTCGATCTTCAAAAAAACTTCTACTAGTCTGCAGCCAGCAGGTGTCGTCTAGTTTAGATTCTCTACAATAATGTGAAATATTCTCTACAATGTCCACCTACCCAATCAGCTCCAACACAGAAGCAATGTTTTTGGTGCTACTAAGACGATGCACACACTGACGCGTTTATCCTTCTATACGTTAAGTCTCGTTAAACTTATCAGTTTGTAGACGAGCTCCCCGAACGTCTGCGACATTTGAGCACATCCTCGAACTAAATACTACCACTTATCACATGACGAGCAGGTGCTCGCCAGCCTATGATAAGACAACTCCCCAGGATGGGAGCCACGACAGTAGCGACCTCAACCCAACTTGCTTGTCAGGTGCTGTGAGCACCTATCACGACCTCCATGGAAATTTAGCCATTATGCAATTTATGAAAGACCCACGCCGCCATGACGTCAAAACGAGCCCTTCACCGGTTACAGAAATAGGTGCTCCCCAAGAGGCGGGAGTCCAACATAGGAATAACCACAAATTCTTAATAACCAAGGCATTCTATGGATTTTTCGTTGATTTCTGAGTCCAAGGCGACGCACTCACAAGGCAGATGCAATACACAAATGAGATAGATGAAACTGACACCAAAACACTATTGACGTATCATCAGAGCAAATATGAGAAGAGGGTGACAAAAACATTGGAGCCGTTCGATAAAAAATTGAAGGGAAGGAGCTAAGCCGGAGGCTATGACACCTGAAAGAACGGGGTAATGGCATATTGCTGCAATAGCGGTGCATCGTAACTATTTACACAAGCATGCGCGTCAAAACATGGAGTAGAACTTGCACATCGCCACCGTGAAGTTCCAGCGCACTATCACAGAAGCAATATAAAGGATGATGAAGATGGTCCCAGTTAGGAGGATGCCTCGTGTGTGCCTCAAGAAGGGCAGTGCTGTAACATAGAAAAACCATACGATGTGAAGAAATAGTAGATGAGGTGAAATGCTGGTACATGTAGCAGCCTTACGGGGCAGAGTAAGCCGATTTAGAAGCTAGCAAGTAGAATACATCGCTGTCGCTGTGTAACTTTAATAGCAATAAATCTCTGACGCGTTAACTGTGCTAATACACCACGGAATGCTCACCCTTGTAGCCCAGAAAGGTAATGTAAACGTAATAGAGGATGCCGGCTAGCCAGAACGAATTCCCGATGAAACTACCCAAAAATGTTGGCCTTCGAACGACTACAAAAGTACAGGAGTGTTTTGAAGAAACAAAGACTGAACCTTGATAAAGGATCATCAAAATGGCTAGATGTAAGGTTTCAAAGATTTATACCCTAGAATAATTCTATCAACAATGAAAAAGTGAACAAAATAACATGGAGTGTGATTTGCAATTTTTAATTTAGAGAAAAATCATAAGATGACCGCAGGCATATGAGCTATCGAGGGAGAGAAACTTTCGAAAGCTTGCAGTTTGAAGCAAAAGTAAATTTCTCTTCATGGTTGTGTCAAAAGAATATTTTAGAGAAGAGAACAATAGCAAAATCAAACCCAAATTTTCAGGCTAAACTAACGTGTCTATGCAGATTTTAAGCTCAAAATGGGAGCAAAAGTTATGAAACGGTTATGGATTTATTACAACCACGAATAGTAGAGTACAAGCGTCGAACAAGGCGGAAATGGATGTTACTGATGTAGAAATGACAGATGAATGCGATTCCATTGCCCTTATTGTGGATGAACACAGCGTTTCCTTGGCATCATAAGACTCCAAATGCAAATGGAATTTCATAAATGCGATCATAAAGTGCTTTCTCAGGCGATCATCTACAACAAACTTCCAACTCAAGTGTCGCTTTTGGGAGAATTCAAGTAAGCTTGTGATGCAGAACAGCTTACAACAAAGAACACCAAAACCTGTGAACATTATATTGCCTCGATTCTGTTCCTTCACATCATGACAAATAGGTGTTAACAATGTGTAGCGTAGGTTATTCAGTCATTGATTTACCACCCCTCTCCTCCCAAAAAAACCCAAATGCAAGGAATCACCTCAAAAAAGTGACCAATTCTAAAGGTCGGCCGATTGTATTGAAATCAATGAAGATAGCAAGAAAATTAGCTTATTTGAGTGCCACAATGGTGACAAATCACCGATTTTGGATGTATCAAAAAATTGCCTAAATAACATTTTTTCAAGGTCTAGTTAAACTGTTTACACGGGTTAACATTCCTTAGAAGCAAACGTGGATTGTCAAAAAGGAAAACCGCCTTTGATATACACAGGGAAACAGAGCTGCGACGTTATCAAATGGAAGACGCATTAATTCTGCATATGATAATAGTGGTAGCTTTGCAAGATTTAAAAGAATTCTGCAGCGAAGACAAAAATGCTTAAATAAAAGGGAATAAATTATACTTTGGAATATACTAGAGTGAATACTTAAAAATGCCTAGTGAGTAATGCGCAAAAGAAAGACTCGAAAAATGGACGCTTGACTTACAATAGAAGAACATGGGTTGGATGATACGCAGGATGATTATACACGGAAACAAAGCATTTAGGTGAATATCGAAGGCGTAGGCCCACTCAACGTCAGGAGCATGCACGTGATAACTGTCCGAGCTAACAGATTCATCATCCGAGTTGCTGGAAAACTGACGTCTGAGAGCATAACCACTATTATTGATATGTTCCACCCCAATCATCCAGTAATTTGCAATAATCCACATGCCTGTGGCCACCAAGAGACCAGAGGTTACACATTCGACAGTTAATGACCAAAGCAGAAGCTTTAGCCAACCCCAGAAAGAATGGCCAAGAATGGCTGAGTATATTGTAGTCGATACTGAAATTTTAAAACAGAACCAGAATAACTGTGCTGACAAGTACAACCAAAGCCTCATAAAAAGACACTTTGTAAAAATAAAAGCATCAAACACTTGTAGAAGACCATTAATTGGAGTAGGACCAGCTATTATGTATTTCAAAAAAAAAAAGATTGTAACAGAAGCTCTACTTACCAAGCATCCAAGGAATAAAGAGAATCATGAATGCAGGATCATCACGAGCCCACTGATTGCGAGTAGCTAAGGAATAAATGTTAGCGCAAAAGGCGTACAATGGTGATAACTAAAATTTCTGTATAACTTCTGCGGGGAAACAAAAATATTGACCATTTGCCACGAAGCATACTCAAAGTCCATTTGTCTGAATTTGTAAAATCTGGAAAAATACTTTTTCGCCTTTTCATTTGCGCTTAAAGACAGTCGAGAACACGTTTGCCCGCATAACCTATGGCAATGTTTACGCCTCGGTGGCGAATTTTGATTTGCGTTGTTGACGACTACGACGTTCCTCAAGGCAAAATCGCTTGAGTAGGATTCCATTATTAAAGGTTTCGAATACAAAAGCTAGACAAAACCATTAACGATCCGGTCTCTCATATGATTGTACGCAGATACAGCGAGTTAAAACAACAAGAACAAAAGGGTAAAAGGATAGAAGATTTTTAACAGCATACACAAACGATCTAAAGAAATAAGTTTTAATTGCGTATATGATTTAGTGATATTGGTAGGACAAGACTGTATATTAACTTCATTTACCTATATGTTCCAAATATCAATAAAGTTCTTGCTGAATGAAACAAGATTTGAAAGAAAGGTCGTTTTTTACCAATAATTGCGCTGCAAGCATTAAAACCCATGCAATCTGAAAAAATTACACTGGTTATACCTTTGGGAAGTGAATTGTGCCATTTTGGATTCTTCAAACTGAAGCAAGTTTAGTGGTAGCCAAAATGCCTCAAAAAGACTATAGCATAGCATTTGCAATAATTACAATTTAGATGGCCTCCCGAGATCTGGCCATCATCTCATTATTCGTCTGCTCCATATACGCGTGGAATGACCTTCACACCAACCTCAGGCTTGATACCTTTTCTCTCTCTACAGTGCGTGCATTCAGTCCAAGTTAAAGCCTTCTTTTGCTTGGTATGAAGTTTTGAGACTCTATACTTCGCTTTTTGCCATGCTTTTTATCCTGACTACCTTTAAAGACATTGACAATGTTGGACACACATCTCTATATCCAATTCAGCTGAATTTTAAGCTATGCCAAAGTCTCACTAACTCCTTTTTTTAAAAAAATAAGGAAAAATTGGATCTTGGCGTGGCTTAAAGACCAGCTTTTAATTGCAAAGGGCCAGGCAGATATCAAAAGCCAGCACCAAACAAGGTGGTCATATCGACAGGATTACAGCTCCACTGCTTGACTTTCTGTCTGATGGATGTCGGGAGTCTACAGCATCAGATGTACAAACGTCAAAGTAATATATGCATGGACTAAACTACAAATAATGTCCTATTTTCAAGTGTTATTATAGCAGTCCGAGAATTCCTAGTATGTAGAAGACAATAAGTTGGAATAATTGTTGCAGCGTCCCGTGACTTCCCATGCGGTGGAAGAAAGCAGTAAGTAAAGCTGGATACGTGTATTCCAAAGAGGACAGAAAAAAATGGGTCCGAGTATGGCACAAAGGCCAGCCCATGTGTATTAGACAAATTTAAAAGTGGCCGCCACACGTCCGGTAGTCAGATAAACAAAGCATTAATCTGCCCTCTCTTCTTTCTAGTTATGTCCTCGGCGCTCCCCTTTGTTACATCTCCCTCGCCAGCCATCACAATACATTCGTTACTACAAGAAAGCACCCACGAGCCAACCGCACCAGCCGACAGACAACACGAGACTGAGGAACCGTGCCTGGTATTCTAGGCAGCTTCAACTGGATTGGGTGTAACTTTCGGTCTGACAACCAGAACATCAATTGCTCCCAGGACTAGACAGTGGAAGTCTGGTCTACAACATATGTTACAGGGAAAACGGTACGAGCCACTCTCCCGTATGCGAGGAGAACCGTGGTGTCATTTTCGACACCTAAACACGGATTTTGTATGGGGAATTCCGACACGAAACTTTTCCAGATAGTTCACGGTGGTGTCGCTTCAGTTGTTAATAGCTTGTCTGTGGAACACGGGAATAAGGTGAAACCAAATGCAGACGTCGGTCTCGACCCTTTCGATATGAGGGATTCAGAGAGTCTTCGCCATCGATGCAAATGCGTCTCTTCCACATCGTAGATACATGCAACAAATGCTACGTGCTAGGATAGAGTTTATCGAGAAATGTGAAAGAAAGTAGTAAGTAAAGCTGAATATCTGTATTCAAAAGGGGACCGAACCTGGACATTGCTCGAAGGCCAGCCCACGAGTACAAAGACGAGGCAATTCTTTGAGTGATCGCCGAACGTCAGGGATAACATAAAAAGTGCATTGCAATTACATGCATTGAATAACGATAAAAAGAAAGGGGGAATTGGATTTTAACCTGGCCTGATAGCCAGCTTACGCGTGCGAAAGCATCGCGAATATCAAGTTGACCACCAGGCATAGAGGTAGTCACATAAACAAAGCACTACATGGAGCATTTATGACTTATTTTGGCATGATGCAGTATAATTGCAATGCTTAAACTCGTTGGGAGAAAAGTCGTTTTGTGACGTAAGGATTAATTGTTAGAAAAACGAAAAGGAGGAAGAACAGGCGATATCCACCATCAATCAGGTGCTCCGACAAATGGATCTTCTGCACCTACAGTGCATACTTTGAAAGTACATTAGTACAGTTGGTGTCTGTTACCTTTGTGATGCCAGCCTCAATGGTTAAGCTGCTTGCGTAGACTTTGGCAAAGATGTAGAACGGAGGAGAGATTGTGTTAGTGAGGCTGGCTTCGGGTCGAGAGTCTCGAGGGTTTGGTTGGGTAACAGTGTCAAGTGTGGGACTGTAATGTGCACACTCATCAAGAATTGTGTCTGTTATGAGGCCCCGTTGCTGGCTCACACCACCACCCTGTTAATGACGGAGGAATGGCGCTGTCAATGTTAACAATACAGTATTTATTAACGTGGAGGCGAACCTACAGGGGGTTGGGGTAGGGGATCGTCAAGGTAGAGGCAACTGCCACAAAGCAGTTCAGAGTGATGACCATTTGGTGAAAAGGGGGGAAGGATGAGGAGAGCGAGAGTATCGAGAGGGGAGAGAAGGAGGCATTCGATGCAGAGGTTTGACCCAAGGTTGAGTGGATCCGAACAGTTGCTCAATTTGGTCTCCGCATTGCCTAGAAGCGTGTCCACGGTGGCCGGTGGGGGCGTGGTGGAGGGAGGTGTTGAGAACTGTGAAATGGCCCAAACTCCCCACCAATGCCGATGCAGGAGGAAGGCAAGGGCTAAGAAGAGGTGAGAGATAGAGGTGGATGGTGATGCACACCCACCCCACACACACATCCGCCACCCACAGTGAATGGGACGGTCAATTGTCCACGACCATTGACAGACGCCCTGTCGACCAGCGCCGCGTTTTGCGCGCTACAAGACATGAAGGAAGAAAAACACAAGGAAAGAAATAATGAGCAAAGAGAAGGGGAGGAGGAGGAGGAGCTTCTTCTCTTCTGCTCTGCCCTCCTCCTGCTCGTCCTCCTCCTA